CAAATGAATGGTTTGCAGAACACGGAAGACCTATTGGCATGGGAAGTGTTTACCGACGAATGAGAAGTTTTGGCTTGTTTTCATACCGGCCACACTGGGTCCTCCCTTTAACTCGAGAACACCGACGTAATCGCCTTGAGTGGTGCAGACAACGGTCACTCTGGGATCAGGAATGGAACAGTATTGTCTTTAGTGACGAGTCTCGATTTTGTTTAGGCATGCACGATGGTCGTGCCAGGGTTAGAAGGCGACGTGGTGAAAGGAGGAATCCACAGTTTTTTTTTTGAAAGACATGTTCATCACACTGTTGGAGTTATGGTTTGGGGTGCTATAGCTTATGGTTCCAGGTCACCTTTAATCTTTATCAGAGGTAACATGAACGCGCAGCGTTATATCCACGAAGTTCTAGAACCCCATCTTTTACCCTATCTTGACACCCTGGCAGATCCAACTGTCCAACAAGATAATGCCCGACCACATGTTGCAAGAGTCACAATAGACTTCTTTCAACATAATGATGTCACATTGTTACCATGGCCACCAAGATCTCCCGACTTATCCCCAATTGAGCACGTGTGGGATATGATGGGTAGGAGATTGCTCAATTTTCAACGTCCTCCTCAGACTCTAGAAGCACTTCTAGAGGAGTTGGTGGTTGCCTGGAATGAGATACCACAGGAGGACATTGACCACCTGATCAGAAGCATGCCTAGACGCGTTGGAGAATGAGTAGCACATCAGGGTGCATCCACACATTATTAAAGGTCAAAGGGCTTTAAAGCAGTGCAATCATTTTGAAATGTTTATCATTTACTTATTATGCTTCATTAAGTACTTATACAAAATTTTATTAAAATAAAACCATTTAAACTGGGTGTTCGGATTTATATGTCACTTAATATATACAGTGCTATTCGTATCTATTTATTTGTTTACTGTGCTTTATTGTTATTCCTTGCAATTGGGCGGATGTGCCTGTTGGAAATGAACTTATTATTATTGACCTTGTCACGAGTGACTACCCTGACTGCTAGATGAGCCCCGAGGGGAACTGCTTGCAGCCCCAGAGCGGGAATGCCCCCACGAGTCAGCCCAACTAGTTTTTATAATAAGCAATATCCCCACTCCAGCTAATATCAATACTCCATTGTTGATTATGTAAATTAAATAAAATAGGCGACGAACCACTTCAAAAATTATTTATCGAGATGTTGAAAGTTGTACAGCAAGGTATAGAGTAATATTATCTCAAACAATATTCGTATTTATAATGAATCGGTATGTTGAAGGAATTTGTTATGATGAGAAAGTACACAAGAAACTACTACTACTTACTCATCAATATAAGGAAGTACCCGCAAATATCATTGACATCATAATTAACAAGAACTCATAAGAAAAGTAAATACAGGAATAATAAGATGTTTACTGAATATACGAGGGTGATACCATAATTTGAATACTCATCAGCGGATGTGGTTTAGAATATCTGTCCGTAAGCTAGGAAGCTAGATCTCTACGGGGTAGTCTTTGGTGACAACCTCCTATTCGGTGACATATGGGTTTTAAAAGTACTGAAACACAGCTGAATAATATCAATGATTTTGGACGCCTCTGTTTCCTCATCCATCTCTCTATCTTCTTCACCAAGACGTCTTGTAAGCATCAAGCATGGGCAGAACACGTCGTGGTGCAGTGCTAGTCGGCTAAATACCCGTCCAGAGTTAGCCGCCTGTAATTCACGTGCACTTATCTGATGTTTGATTGACTGTTACTTTGGAACAGCACGGCGAGTGCCCGTTGGTAGCACCGTCGACGTTTCGGTCTCTTTCAGATGTCAGTTCTCGCAACGTGATGACCGACTCTTTTCACGAGCAATCTGATGAGAGATCCAGAAATTTATAGGTGATAATGTGTTTCTTTTATCTTATTGGTCACTGTTTGTCGATCGGCAGTAAACATAAATCTGGCATCTCGTAATAGAATTAGATTCGTGATCGCAAGGGGTTAGCACCAATAACTTGAAAATAATGGAGGAAAACAACTAGTGAAATTTCTTGGAAGGAGTACTGATTACCTTTTTTTACCAATATGATCTTTTATAAGTAGTATTATATGAAATATCCAAACTGATGCTTTCCTACATGATTTAATGAAGAAAAAGATGTTTACATCTATGCAACATATGACACATTGTAATTTTTTCTCATTCATTTTTTCTGAAGAAGCACTGACAAGTAGACCGACTCCGTACTTCTGACGATCTTTCCTCCAACGCCACTGGCGAAGATGTATCGCTAGAGTTCTGAAAATGAGAAATTGTTTTTGGATGTTACATGACGTACATCACGAAGAACCATGACACTCATTTTCGTCGGTCTAACTGCTATCTGTCTGTTCGCTAATCCTTGACCGCTCTATAATTTGCAAAATCGCTCAAACTTCGTTTTTTTAACATTTTAGGAGTTCCTAATCATTTTTAGAAAAAAGTTAATAGTTCTTAAAAAGGAGTGTTGGCGAATGTAGGGGATAGGTGACGGTGTATCAATTTTCGGCATTAGGATATTTATATAGTTTCAACCCTGGTAATTCTAAGCGATTATTAAACATATTTTACACATAGATATATATGTAATCTAATCATATTGACAAATTTCCCAGAAATAATTGTAAAGTCTGGTTTTATTGGTGCAACTTATAAAATGGGTACACCGATTTTTGTGGGGAAACCTTTTATTTGACAACAAAAATGAGAAAACGTGTTTTATGGGATTCAATCGAAAGTGTTAACAGGAACGAAAAAACTTTTGTTATAAGATTTTTAGGTATTTATGAGACCTACAAAATGAGACCACACGTAGAAAGATCTGACTAATATCAAAAAAGGTATGGCCGAAAACCGAGGCGAATTGAAGGTTTTGACATGCGACGATGGTTTCTCGCACATATTTGAAATTTTTTAAAATCGTAGGATTCGTACTTCTAAATAACCACAACAAAATTGGAGTAGATTGGTCAAGTAGTTTTTGAGAATGTCTAATTGCTTAGCCCAAAACACCTGTCTTCTGGTCATCACTACTAGTTTATTGAAGAATATACAGAGTTAGTTCAAAGGGCATTATATAGCAAAATACACTAGTTTATCTTGCCGATATAAAACGTAAACCATTCCGGAAGATAAATTTCTTTTTTATGCAAAAAAGGATGGGCTACGTTTTTTCTTCTAAGCAAATTCAAACATTTCGTATTTGTGAGTAATTCGCAAAAAATATGATAGACACATCCGGTTTGTTTTAACATGTTTATAGTAACGTATGTTTTTCAAATATCGTAGCGTATTTGTTCAATTACTCACAAATATGAAATGATTAAATTTGCTTAGAAGAAAAAAACGTAACCTTTGGTTTTCGCATAAAAATGACATTTGTCTTTCGAAATAGTTTGTGATTCATATCGGCTAGGCAAGCAACCGCGTGTATGCTGCTATTGAATGATTTTTGAATGAACCCTGTATATCGCTCAATTACCTAGTTGTGATGGCCGGAAAACAGGTATTTTGGGATAAACAACTAGAAATTCTCAAAAACTACTTGATCAATCTTCTCTAACTTTGTTGTGGTTATTTAGAAGTACGAATCCTACGAATTTGAAGAATTTCAAATATCTGCGAAAAACCATCGTCGCATTACCAACAAGTGCCAATACCTGTAGTTTGCCTCGGTTTTGGACATAACTTTTCTGTTATGAGTCGGATCTTTTTTATGTGTGGACCCATTTTGTACGTCTCATAAATACCTAAAATTCTTAGATGCAGATTTTACAATGACTTCGCAAACCAGGGGTATTTTCGTCTAATATGATTTGACCTAGACCCATATATTTGCCCTTAAAGCTTTGATAGAAACATATTTTCAACACAACCGCATACCGCATATCTCTCACAATCCCTGTATGGTCTGACTTCTAACCGGTGGCTGGATGGGTGACTGTCAGCTAACGCAACGTTGCCAGAAGGTCAGTACTGTCGATAAGACAGGAGAGATCGCAAGGTTGTCAAGTGGGTGTAGACTAATGGTAAAATAACTAAAATTTAATTTTTTTCTTATACACGCTCGTGGCTTTCCTCAATGTATGCCAAACATAATGCATTACGTGGAAAGTGCAGAGTACACCTACTTTTTTCTGTTCTGAAAGTTGCGTAGCTTATGTGTGGCAAAAAAAAATATTTCTGACGGGCGGTGTTATCAAAACGCCAAAAATTGATGACTTCAAGCTGAGTAAACATTCATTTTTCTTATTTACAGCAGGTGAAACATACGTTTATTTTTTTATTCACGATGATTATGCGTGATTTTTAATTAAGATCGCAACACAAGATAGATGAGACCGATATGTCTAGCAACGCAAATTGGTTATTCTTATTGATTGTGCAAGCAGGTGATGTTCAGATCTACAAGATGATTGAAAATAGGAAGTAAGCGCCTAGAGCATTATTAGCAGAATTTAAAAATACTCATCAAAAACAGAGTACGTGTATCACCGTATGCATAAAAATTAAAAAAACTAAAAATTTGTATGTTTTATGACCATAAACCTTTTCATCAGAAGAATGTCTGAAACAACAGCTCACCGTAACAAGTTTGGATTAAACATTTTGAAGACTCCCACGTCAAAGGCTAAACAAATTCTCTTGTATCGTACTCACATTCACGATAAGTCATCATTCAGACTAAATGATACAGACGATAGTCTGATCATTAGTTTGGCTGCTACGATCTCTTGGTCAAATAGTCACATATAGGATGTTAAACTGACACCCCTCCTCTAGGATTACAACTAGAAGAACGCTGATCAGTTGGAAATTCATATAAAAAAATATCTTTAATTTCCTCATAGCAACTATTGATATGAAGTTGAGAAATGCTTGAGCCTGTGTCTTAATATAATCAGATCTCACCTTTTTCTATTGGTTCAAGTAATGATTTTTGCGTTTGTTCCAGGACAAACCTCATAAGTGCAACCTATGCAGCAAATCTTTCCCCACACCAGGCGATCTCCGATCTCACATGTATGTCCACAGCGGCTCATGGCCCTTCAAATGTCACATCTGTAGTAGGGGCTTTTCCAAACACACGAATCTCAAGAACCATCTCTTCTTGCATACTGGTAAGTACTACTATGAACCATAACCTAGTTTGTTATAGTTTTATCATAAGCAGCGCATTAGTAGAATTCAACTAGGAGATGGGGCTGAAATTAATATAGGGAGAGGAGACCAGGGCAAAGCTAATATCCCCTATTACATCCAAAACATGGGGTTGCTATACCAAGGTAGACAAGATGAAAAAATTAGAAAGAGATAAGTGATGTAACCAAAAACATGGCATTTACGTCTAGCCACGTGCTGTTCTTATTGGGTCAGAGATGAAGGCGGTGTTGCCAAATAATCCTTTGTGCTCTCATGGATATTGAAAATTTGAGGACAATGATGGTTATTTTCCAGTCTATTTGTCTATAAAAGTATTCACTTGCAATACTTGTATAAAATAACTTTGCATCATGTCTGTATCCGCTTTACCTGGTGGTCAAAGAAGATAATCCATACCGTTTTGTTCTTTGTTGTATGTGTACTAATTCCAACAAATAATAATTTTTTGAAGACCGATTTAACTTAGATATTTTCTTCTTTCTCACTCATTAACAGTCCTATAATAAGAGCAGAACGCTTAAGGTATTCACCTTCTCTCTCCGCTAACGTACCTACAACCGGGCAGTGAAGTATACTTCATGAGTAAGTTTTCTGAAAGGTAGGTGTTATTTTCCAGCCCACGATCTATCACCCTCTGGTGGTTAAGCAACTTCCATCTGGCTGTGAGCTGAAAATAATAGCCTTTTAGTGAAGGAAAACTAAATAAACAAACCAGATCGTTTTCTTTACCACCGGATGCCCGTAGTTGTAGGCGTTGCCTAGCAACAAATACAGACAGTTCTAGCGGAGGATGATAGGTAATAGTATCTTATTGTCACTCTTGACAAGGTGACGACCTGGCAGAAGCACACTGCGGCGTTAAATAAAAAATTCCAAATTACATTTCGGCAACTCTACCCTATGCTACGTAGAACCTCAAAATTGAGCGATCACACACGTATGAGCGGCTTGGTGTTTTCTCGCGAAAACGAATTTGCTTTGTCTGCAGGTTTTGCAGAACAGAACCTTGCGCCCGTTACTAACGCCCCATGGTATGTTCCCAATGAGACCATTCACAGAGACCTCGATATCCCTTGCTTACCTTACGTAGCCAGAGGACTACACAGTCGAGCAAGACCGCGGCTCGCATTGTGAACAAAAATAAATCGCGCGACTTTAGATCCAACAGTAATTGCAAGTCAACCAGTCCCTCAAAGTGACGCACTAACTCCTCTTTGCTCTCCCTCCTTCCTTCCTGTCTCTCTTCTTTCCTTGCTTCTCCCTGACTTTGCCTGGTATATAGGCAACCAGACCTGACAGACCTACTGATCTACGGTACTTGAACCAACATCAAAGGTCATACATACCTCAGGGCTATTTCATATATTGAAGAGTAAATTATGTCGTTTTTTTTGGCATTATGTAGTTTTTTATGACATTATGTAGCTCTTCCAAGAAGAGGTCAACAGGCGTGGGATGAACTATTTGCACGCTACCAGCTATCTACCAATTGACATTCTATCGGTTTTTTGACATTTTTCGTTGTAACACTGCCGCTCTGACAGACAATGACGAACAGAAGATGGTGAATTCTTAAAGATACTAGAAGTTAATTTGGGGCCCTGAGGTTATAGGAGCCAGTGACCTGAAAAGTAGTGCTTATCGCCCGAACAGTCTTTCCATAAAGCATACATTACCGCAGAGTCGTAGATAAATGAAATAATGATTTTCTTTTATTTGGTTTTGGCTGCTATAGAGTATATTAATCGGATTCTCTTAGTAATACTTTCTTCGTAAGCTGTTTATTCGATCCACTAATTAATTATTTGGAAAGGAATTAATGAAGGCAATTATTGTATTGAAATGTTTGGCGTCTGGTCGATATAAGGCAGCTGCTTTCCTTATCTGTCTGGAAGTTATTTAGAAGCAAAAAATATTGATGCCTCACATGTTTCTACCATATATTGAAAAAATAAAACTAATCAACTGGACTCGGTTCAATTTGCTGCAAAATATTATTGATAACGGACAGCTCGCACACTGCCCCATACAGTTTGCGTTGCTCGGTTTACTGCCGTATTAACAGTTACAAAAAGAGATGAAAGAGTCATCCAATAAAGATCGATAAGCAATCACTACAGATTCAGTAGTATCGAGCGTAAACGATGAAAGAAGAAAACATTGGTCCTCATAATGTTTCTTCCTGGTTTTGCCTTGTATAATTTAAGACACATTTATGATGTTGGTGATTATTACGTCAGCTTCTTAATTCTTGATAAATCATCTCTAACTGCAATCAACGTAATCTGCAGTCGACATATACTGCTATCTTCTAAAAAAGTAAGGGTGACAATAGAGAATATGCAGGTTTCTGGTGCTTTTCTGTTGATTATCTACGTTAATAAGTGCAATGCCAATGACGTTGACTTGAACGCCGCCTTTTCTGTGCGAATCTCAGTGATCACAACTATGGTTTGTCATTTTATTCTATATTTTTTAATCTGCTGTCATGATTTCCTGACTCCTGACAAGTTTTGAAAGGCTTTATTTTGCCTTTGTCATTTTGCGACGTTATCCTGACAGCGAAATTCTTCTGCTGATAGCAGCACGTCTGCTGTCATACGGTGTTGACATCTATGCTGAAAAATGGGCATACCCGATATGGTTAGATGTTTAAGTCGCGGATTTCGCATCAACTCTCTTTCAACTCTTTGGAATTGGACAGATTGATAGGTTGACAACCAAATTTGCTCCGAATTGTATTCCATTTTCTTACGTATTATTGATTAATACTAGTAATTTTTTAACACATAAGTATAAAATAAAGTTGAAGATGGCTTTTTGTATTTTTGTAGCAATATAGGCTCTAAGTAATTAAACGATATTTATATTCTCTAATGGCTGTCACTAAAAAATGCTAATGGTAAGGCGCTACTTTCAAGTAAATGAGGAACCAATTGGATCACAGACTGGGAGGACGACCTAAAAACTATCAAATCATGAACTACCTAAGAATGAAAAACAGAGCCGGCCAAAAAATATGTTGCGTCACTAATTACCCTTCGAAGCCCAGCAAATTGTATATGAAAAGCTAATATAGGAGAATTAAGGCAGACAATTTTTATGCAACCGCACCGTTTTCGTTGGCGCGCGTGACGGAAAGTATAGCAGAATGTAGAAGATACCAAAAAGTTGGCCACGATATCGAAAAAAAAATCTCTTTTTTCCATAAACATACACCTCACACGCAAATTTGTAATAAAAATCCGCGCTCTTGGACACACCTCAAGCCTATCGAGGCACTCATAAAGTACTAGGTACGCCCAGTACGAACTTTTCAACCTATCCAAATTACTTGTTCGCCTATAGCAACGTATACAGTAGGCGAAAAAACAAAAGAAAAAGCGCGCGAAAAAGAACGAAGAGCACGGAAAAACAAAAGACTGTCGATATGCGGCCTGGGCCGTCGGCGAAGGCACGGCAGTGCTGCAGCGGGTAAACGTGTTATTACCGCTGTACGGCAGGCAGTAGGCCCTGATTGGGGTAATCACGGCCTTCTTAGACGCGATTTGGCCCCGGGCAACAACGCGGCTACTGGGTTTCCATTGGATTTTCTACGCTGACCGCAGTGGCGTCTCGTCGTCTGAGTAGCTAAAACTCATCTTCCATCACTTCGTCGGGAAAGATTAAAAAGCGGGAGTATTATGTAATATAGGTGATATGATACTGATAGCTAGTCGGATAGCCCATGTCACGCCCATTCGCTGTAAGCGCCACCTATGGAGAAATGGCACAACGACCGTCGTTTGCCTGTGCTTTGCGATGTTTTTCTCCTGCTATAATATAGATAGAACTTAGGTCATAGAAACTATAAATGCCCTCTTTCAGTGCCATCCCTGAAGCAGATATTACAATAATTCAAACTCATACCTGAAGTTTATACAACATTCATAGCTACTACAAGTGAGTTTGTAGTTACATGATAAGGGCACGGATCCAATCCATAGTTGAGAACAGACAAGACGACATCAGGTCTAATAAGAGAGACAACATTATTCGTAGTGACAAAAGTTAACACTGCTCGAGCGGAATGATCTTCTTGTCAACCCTATCAGGGACGTCCCCTAAAACATCAAGTGTCATCGATAACTAAAAACTCTTCACTCTATGAGACAATCAATTTTCAAGCATAATTGGGTGTTAGAGTCGGCTGAAACTAGCAAGTCATGACCGTAGTATTTGAGCAATGTATACCAACAATTCGGCCCGCTCTGTCAATTCTTTTCAATATGTCTTACAGTATCAGCATTTTCTCAGAAGATTGAAGATTTCCCCCCAAAAACGTATCGATCGATCAGAAGCTACCTCTGACTTGGTTTTTGAAACCTCACATCTACTAGAAGACTTCAATATTATGTCACTTATTTATGAAGCAAGCTTATCCAATCATTTGGCGATGTTCTCGCCATAACCCTTGAGGCGCCAAGGTTTTTCGGTTAGCTGTAATATGTTGCCTGTTCTTCAAAATTCCCACTAAGGGGGCTACGATCTGAATAATCAGTATGACTTCCTTAACATACTGTTCCAAGCCGTTTCCCATCGACTAGCATTTGGTGACATCTCCTTTTTGCCTATATTACCATATAGGATTAATTAACTGGATTAATTCTGAGCCCTCCTCCATGGTTCCACCAAATCCTTATTCACGATAGCCCCTCAGTCTACCATTTTGAAAGGTAGTCATTTTATATTCTAGGATTATAAGGAACTTCAAAAAGAGAGACTCCATCATCTGCCATCCTATTTATAAAATCTTCCAAGATGGCGCCTTGTCGCCATTTTGAAGTTTCCAACTTTCAAATTTGCGTTGAAATATACTATTAATGCATTTATACCCCAAATTTCAGCATGCAGCATACTCGTACAAGAAATAAATAGGGAGACGTTTTTGGAAAGCAGTGTTACATCGAGAGCTTCAAATATATCAACATGAGACATCAC